TATACCACCCTACACCTACAGGTCTCAGGATAAAATTACAATTACATATCCTTTGCATGCAGAAGGTCCCAGGTTCAGTAGCTCTTGACCAGCATGAGAAAGCTCTCTCTTGGAAATCCTTAGAACAGGGCCTGGTATGCTAGCTTCCTGGCCTGTGGGTCTCTGCTGCTTACTAAGACAGTGAGGTGGTGGAGTGCAAATGCATTAGCACAGCCAATCTGGTGCCTATGCATACAGTGGAACCTTGGTTCTCAAACTTAATCCATTCCAGAAGTCCGTTCGACTCCCAAAACGTTCAAAAACCAAGGTGTGGCTTCTGATCTCAGGCGTCCCAGAAACAATAGCCGACAGCCACATTGGATGTTTGGCTTCCAAAAATGTTTGGAAACTGGAACTCTTACTTCTGAGTTTTTGGCATTTGGGAGCTGATTTGTTTGTCAACTAAGCTGTTTGAGAACCAAGGTTCCAATGTACGGTACTTCCATATATATATATTTAGCAACTAATCCATATATATATATTTAGCAACTAATCCACACCTAATGACCCACCTAAGTGGTACTCAGGATATCACTCAAGAAATCACTCAAGATATCCCTCAAGTAATTAAGGAACAAAAGAAGAAAAGGCACACTAACCTGGGAACTTCCTCTCTGCCCAGAACATTGGAGGCTATACACCACACCCCCTCAACAGTATTTATAGGAACTCAAACACTGAGATCCTGCTCTGTTCCAGTAACAAGAAGCCGAAAGCACCAGCCTGAAGATGACGAGTGAGACCTCGTCGAAACGTCGCCTAGACACCCCAACTTTTACACGGGAAGACACCCGAGGACACCAAAACCTGCATTCCTGTACCCGTGAAAATCTACGAAAGCATATATATATATATATATATATATTTGCTTTCGTAGATTTTCACGGGTACAGGAATGCAGGTTTTGGTGTCCTCGGGTGTCTTCCCGTGTAAAAGTTGGGGTGTCTAGGCGACGTTTCGACGAGGTCTCACTCGTCATCTTCAGGCTGGTGCTTTCGGCTTCTTGTTACTGGAACAGAGCCGAAAAGTAACAAGAAGCCGAAAGCACCAGCCTGAAGATGACGAGTGAGACCTCGTCGAAACGTCGCCTAGACACCCCAACTTTTACACGGGAAGACACCCGAGGACACCAAAATATATATATATATATATACACACACACACACACACACACACACACACACACACATACACACACACACACACACACACACACACATACACACATATAGTGGTACCTCAGGTTACATACGCTTCAGGTTACAGACTCCGCTAACCCAGAAATAGTGCTTCAGATTAAGAACTTTGCTTCAGGATGAGAACAGAAATCGTGTTCTGGCAGTGCAGCGGCAGCGGGAGGCCCCATTAGTCCCATTCCAGAACGAATTAAGTACTTAACCTGATGTACCACTGTATATAAACTCCCCACCACCTCAACAGCAACCTACCAGCTGGGAAACTAGCACAGCAGCTCTGCTCCACTGAGTGGTCCACTTCTACTCATTATGTAGCAACTCTACATTTAATTTGGTTGACATCTGTCTGCCTTGGGAGCCTGCTGTGGCTGCAGAGACCGATACAGGAGAGAGATGTTTTGTTGCATCTGAGGCAGATGAAGACATCCGGTTGTTCTGCTGCCGATGCACCATGGCCTTTCTTCTCTTTGGGCTCCTCCCACCGGTCATTCCTCTTCTGGTCACTGCTATGGATGCACAACCTGTCTGTCTGTTTCCAGGCACTGTGGTCATCTGCAAGGGATTCCCACATGGTGGGGTTGATGTTGCCATTCTTGAACTACAAAGACACTTATCCAGGAGCTGTAACCTTCAATTTTTAACTCCCTCTTGGGACAAGGAAGGAACCACTCAACATTACCTTTTGGCAACTCTATGTAACTATAGGATATGATGATGCACCCTTCTAAGTATGTTATCAGCAGTGTGGTGTATATATTTCTGCAGGGACCATGTTTTCTTCCCATTCTTAAACTGCTCTGCTGGCTTCATTCATTTGAGCTGACCTATGGTAGAATGAAATTTTGAAGATCACGCTGCAAGCCTTTCATGAAGTCACTCTTAAATAGTATAGCAGTCATAAATGCCAGTCTATTCAGGCTCTCATACTCTTTATTAGCTTGGAATCTAGACCAATAGAATCTCATTATAACTTCAGGGGGGAAATGGTGTTGGAACTATTAAAGATTTTTCAGTTAGCCGACAGCAAAGCAAGGAAGTCAGACCCTGCTACTACTTTCATAAAATAAAACAAGAAGTAAGAGTAAGGCGACAAGGGGCTTTTATACTTTTAAAGCTTTTAAACTAGTTTCTCTACATCATGCTGTAGCAGAAAAAGATAAATTCCTATGTTGTTTTTTTCTACTTCGGGTTAGATTTTTATGTGAAATGTACTGTATGGACAATGATACATGATACGGTATCTTTATTGATTGCAAAAGTGTGTGGATGTGATATGAAGTCACTTACCAGCCTTTTGAATCAAGGCTTGAAATGAAACCGTGCGCGGGAAAATCAGAACTAGGGCAGATCTTGCCTGCCTACTCACAAAATGCCAAAAGTTTCACCTTTCAAATCAGTCGTTCGGGAAAATGAAATCGGTGCAGTCCATTACCAGGACTCCAGCCCCATAATGCAAGTGATTGGTGGGGAAAAACAAAACCAGCAAGCGTTGATCAAGGCAGAGCTCAAATGTGGGCCCAGCGAATAAGCTATCTTGCCACATTTGAAAACCACAGCAGCTTGAAGCCATGATAAACTCCAGCCCCACAAGAAGGCAAGCTAAATGGGGGCGGGGTGTGCTTCAGAATTCTGAACCCCTTTTGAATTCTGAACTGAAGAGACACAATAATGGAATCATAGAATTGTAGAGATGGACGAAGGGTCATCTAGTCCAATCCCAGGCAATGCAGTAAACTCAACTAAAGCATTCACAACACAATAAAATGCAATCACAAACAGCTACCCCATGAATTTGCAAGTGGGAATTTTGTGGTTCACTATTTTTCACAGTTCTCCAGATGCAGTTGTGCATGCCTTAGCTGTTTACAAATAATAAAAATATGGGGAGAGGAGTAGCTGCCCATGCAGATATCAACATTTGTGGTGTTTCACTCTTGCAAATGCATAGAACTATTTTTTATTTTTTAGTTTGCATGAGCATAATACCAATGTTGGCATATATACAGAGAAGCAAGAATGTGATTGATATCTGTACAATTCTCAATAGTAGTTGAGCGAAATCATCTGTGAAATATTTGAAGAGAAACTAAAAAAAAGTCTGTGATTAACTTTGAATGGCAAGAAAACAGAGCCATTGTTTTTAAAAAGGCAAAAAGAAGACTGCTTCCTCCACCCTTTGTTATATATGTAAAAATAAAAAAGGAATCCAGAAAGAATAATATTGCTTGAATTGTAATCTTATATTAGAAGTGAATTGACTCTTACTTAGTGCCTTGATTTTAAATAGTTGCAAATAGTGTGATGTGACATTGTACTGCTGTTCATCGTCCACAGCTGGGGGAATAGAGAAGAGATTCTACCTTGTTGAAAAGGGTTGTATTAACTTTTTCACCTAGATGGATCCTGAGATTGCCCCTTTATTGCCATGTGGGCTACCAGCACGTCTATATGGGTGACGGAATGGGGGGCATGGCGTCTGACCTTTATTGCCCCAGTTCTACAAAAGCTTAAAAATGAACCAGAACTCCAACGTATGAGAGCCTTGGTAGAAGATAAGGTTCCTGAAATTACGATCAATGTTGCCAAATTTTGTGTAGCCGCTATTAGGCGCAGGAAACAAGAGCTTTCCAATGCCAATATGCAGGCGAAGGCAAATACTTAATTTTATTTATGCTGTCTAATTTTAAATTGCTGTTATGGCCTAATCTGTATTGAAATTGTCCTTTGTTTTTTCCGGTGTTATGTTTCGCTGACAAGCTGTACGAGTTAATCTGGTCTGTGACCGTTTAATAAAACTTGATTTGATTTGGGGGGGGCATGGCATAAGACCAGAATGTCTGGAGGCAGTTGGAGGATGGATGGTGGCTAACAGATTGAGGCTGAATCCTGACAAGACAGAAGTACTGTTTTGGGGGGACAGGGGGCGAGCAGGTATGGGGGACTCCCTGGTCCTGAATGGGGCAACTGTGCCCCTGAAGGACCAGGGGCACAGCCTCAGAGTCATTTTGGACTCACAGCTGTCCATGGAGGCGCAGGTCAATTCTGTGGCCAGGGCAGCTGTCTACCCTCTCTATCTGGTACGCAGGCTGAGACCCTAACTGCCCGCAGACTGTCTTGCCAGAGTGGTCCATGTTCTAGTTATCTCCCGCTTGGACTACTGCAATGCACTCTATGTGGGGCTACCTTTGAAGGTGACCTGGAAACTACAATTAATCCAGAATACGGCATCTAGACTGGAGCCTGGGAGTGGCCGCCAAGACCATATAACATCGGTCCTGAAAGACCTACATTGGCTCCCAGTACATTTCCGAGCACAATGCAAAGTGTTAGTGATGACCTTTAAAGCTCTAAACTGCCTTGACCCAGTATACCTGAAGTATATCTCCATCCCCATCGTTCAGCCCGGACACTGAGGTCCAAGGGCCTTCTGGCGGTTCCCTCACTGTTGAGAAGTGAAGCTACAGGGAACCAGGCAGAGGGCCTTCTCAGTAGTGGCACCCACTCTGTGGAACACCCTCCCACCAGATGTCAAGGAAATAGACAACTATCTGACTTCTAGAAGACATCTGAAGGCAGTCCTATTTAGGGGAGTTTTTAAAGTTTGATGTTTTAGCGTGTTTTTAATATTCTGTTGGGAGCTGCCCAGAGTGGCTGGGGAAACCCAGCCAGATGGGCGGGGTATAAATATTAAATGATGATGATGATGATGATGACTAAATGCAATTATTAATTAAGATTACTCTGACTCGCTTTCTCTTCTTGTAGATAACACAGCCAGTATCCTGACCAGGCGGAGGAGATTTAGTCGGACGACTCAGGATGTGTATTACCTCCCCGTGGTGATCTCTGACGGAGGGATCCCTTCTCTCAGCAGTAGCGCCACCCTTGTGATACAAGTGTGCGCATGTGAAAGAGATGGGAGGGTGAGGACCTGTCATGCAGAGGCATTCCTCTCCTCTGCAGGATTGAGTACGGGAGCCTTAATTGCCATCCTGCTGTGTGTCATCATTCTCCTGGGTAAGCCTCTCTCAGAATTAAATACCGGTGTCCTTTCCATGGCCTTCAGATGATCACAGAAACAATGTGGCTTTTTCAATATAATGTCATTCTGAACCAGGAATCACTCGTGATAGGAGGTAATTAGAAATACAAAGCTTTGATATATTTTTTTTAATATTAAAAAAAAATGGTAAAGGCTTTAGCTAAAATTAATAGGACCAAGAAGCCTTTAAAGCAGACAGCTGAACTGCTGGCATCCTGTGGAATTAATTTTGCAGAGGTCACTAAGTAATTAGCACTGCTGATCTACCCAGGTAATTTGGTAAGATTTTCGGGAACCAATTCGAGTTGCATGTCCAGTACTCTTGGGGGAAGTAATAAAAAGAAGAAAGGAGGAGAATCTTTTTGAAACAGATTCCTCTGCCAGAAGGACTTTCAGGAGTGTATGAAAGCCATTTGCTAATTATCTCTGTGGGATGAGCTGATAACGACACAAAGCATCATCAAGAGGGGCAAGGGACAGTGCAGGCAGGAAGATGATTCTATTAGATAAATGTCCTTGGAAATGCATTTTCTCTGAATACTTCATGTGCTTAGATTTATCTGAATAGTACCCATTAGCTAATATTCCCTCTCATTTGGCTCTGACTCAACCTGTTCATTCTGTCTTTACATGTATATTTGCACACTAAACAGAGCTTGAGAAGAAAGCCCCTTTGAAGAACAAATGCTGCTCACAATGGGATGAATCTATAATGACCCATATACTAACATTGTTAGAAATTAAAGAAGTGAATCTTTATCCAGATAAAGGAAGTTCTTCAGTATATGACATTATTCTTAAATATCTTCATTAGCCATCTTCATTGCTTCCGTTCTCCGGGGAAGTTTTTATTTTATTGTTTGAAATTTCTGATAAGGAGCAACCCATTTTTGCTTGCCCCTCCCCCAATAAAATTTTTATAGTCTCATTAAGTGATATTTAAATCCCTCATTCCCGCCATGTCCTCATCTGAGTGGTTTTGGTCAGTGTCCATTTTACAATTGATTATACCCATTCCCAGTGGCCCCAATTCTGAAAAAAAAAAGAGTTAGTTATGCTTAAGTTCCAAGAAAATTTGTGATAAGAATTTGTGGCAGCCTTTCATCCCTCAACTGTAAAAAACCAAACAAACCAGATTTCCCCCTGCCCATTAATACCTGTGCACAAATTATTAATGTGGCAAGTAATATCTTCCTAACTTGTATGAAAAATCATTAAAATTTAGACCTATTTAGATATAATATTATGGGTTTTGGGGTGCTAGAGTTTGTGGGTGCCTGGAATTAGTGGGTGCTGGTGTTTTATCAATGCTTGGAGCATTAAGAGGGGCTGCCAGACAAGTTTTCCCATACAGGAGATCACCTGGGAGAAGAACCATAAAGGATAAGAAAGGGAACAGGAGAAGAGCCATTAAGAAGCAGGTATAGGCAGATATAGGCTGCGCCAGACAACAAGCGAGTGGGAGCCCCTCCTTCCACTGAGCGATAGTTGTCAGAAGACAGTGTGAGAGTTTTTAGGAGGTGGAAGTTTCAAGATTTCAGTTTGCCTGATGAGAGATAGGGGGAAAGGTGTTATTCTGTAACCAGCAAGTTGGGACAGGGGACAGAGGGTCGTGGCTGATTTCTGCTGGCATCCAAGACTTTGGCCATGAGAGAACTAAGAACGCTCTCAGATTGTAATGCTGCAAGTCTCTCCATTGTATGCTCAGGTTGCATATATGTGTAAATGAACTGTATATGGTAAAGACACCATGGTCTCTGTTGTGCTTCATTGTCCAAAAGGAAACACAGACCCTGGTAAGAGTGCCTGGAATTCCCTGACATCCCACACTGAAGTGGAGATTGGGGATAGCATGTAACAATATTATTAGGATCTGGATATATTTAATAATAAATCATTAAATACACCACTGTTACAGCTTTAATCTATTGAAAGAAGGTGTTTCATGTCTATTGACCTGTCAGGCAAATTATATTTTGATAGTAGGCAAATTTACTGAAAAGGGTTCCAGATATTTTTTATTTCTTCTTCAAGGCTGTTGTTTTGGATATGTTAGTAGCAAGTAAAGCAAACGTTTCCGATATTTAGAGGTTAGATATTTAAAATCTGGAAAGTAGCCCAAAAGGGGTGTGTGTGTGTGACACAGATAAGGCAAGCTGACGACAGGGGAAGGATAGATTATTCAAAGAAACTGAAAGATACTTGGCTGATATTTGTTGGAATATGAAATATGGGTCTTGTCAAATTCCAGAAAATACATTGATACCCTGTAATTAGATTATGTAATATTATGGGGTATTGGGGGGGGGGGGGGAGAAGAGAGATTAGTTTAACTTTCACTTCTTACAGTATCTCAGAGAAGAACCTATATGGGAAGTTTTGGTATCATGCACATTTATTTCACTTTAATCCGTTAATGAATTGATAGATGAATCTGCTAAAAGCTATATGATTCATCAGCATAAAAAATATCATTTAATCAGCCAACAGCCCTTCTAATCTGCTATCTTGAATTTTCTCAGCAATAGTGGTCCTTTTCATCACACTAAGACGGAGCAAAAAGGAGCCTCTGATTATTTCGGAGGAGGACGTCCGGGAAAATGTTGTGACCTATGATGATGAAGGAGGAGGTGAGGAAGACACTGAAGCTTTTGACATCACTGCCCTGCGGAACCCATCAGCTGCTGAGGAACTGAAGTATCGGAGGGATGTGCGGCCTGAAGTCAAACCCACCCCTAAGCATCCCACTTCATCCTGTCTTGACAGTATAGATGTTCAGGAATTTATTAAGCAAAGATTGGCAGAAGCAGACCTCGATCCTAGTGTGCCCCCATATGATTCCCTACAGACTTACGCATATGAGGGTCAAAGGTCAGAAGCTGGATCTATCAGCTCCTTGGATTCAGCCACTACACATTCTGACCAGGATTATAATTACCTTGGTGACTGGGGACCAGAGTTTAAGAAGCTAGCTGAACTTTATGGAGAAATAGAATCTGAAAGAACAACTTAAATTCTCGTTATCATTCCTCAAATACGGAACATTTTAGTTCCCCAAGCAACTTGGAGACATAACGACAGCAGTGGTTTAACAGCAAACAATCTTTATCTGAATATATTATAGAAATGCAGTACTTGGAGCAAACTGATGTACACAGTTACTGTAGAAACAAGTGCCCTTTTCACATTTGAAACTGGGTTCTTCAATTGGATGGAAATTTGGAAGAAGAAACAGAAAAATATATGCCCCAAAGGAAAAGATTGTCCCTTTGTGTATATTTTTAATTGCTCAATAAAGTCTGTGGTGCAGTATCAGTAACGATACCCTAAGTAAACCAAGCAATGGCCAATATTACTTTAATATCCCTAAATATACCCAGAGCTACATTGAGTCTATAGTGATGCCTACTTGTGAGAAGAACAAATCTTGTTTGGATAGTTGAAATAATGTGTCTAGCTCTGTTTATAAGTTTAGAGGGGTTAAGGTAATGATGGGGAGAGGTCATTTGCTTCTGTTGTAATACATCCCAGGAATACTACTTCTTTCAGAAGGGTGTAACGGAATTGCTCAGTTAAGTGCCATTTTAGTGTCTGCCCATACTAACACCCATCTGAATTTTATTTACATGCCAACATCTGTTGGGGGTGACACATTTCAATGGGCCAATCCTAATCTTCCCATCCATAGTGAGCTCGTGAACCAAGCATTCTATTGAAACAATCTCATAATTCCACCCTCCCACTGCTAGAACTTTGCTGTTACTGAGTGGTATCGAAGCTGTTGCTTCCATTTTTATTGTTATTTTGCCTGCTATTTTTAACAGCATTTCAAATACAAAAGCAGATTTTTAAAAAAATTAAATTTAACAATATAAAATGTCTTTCTGCCATGAAGGAGAAGATGAAAAGGCTTTCTCGGTTTGGTTTGGTTTGGTTTGGTTTTTAAGTCATTGTTTTATTATGTGTTAAGCTATGCAACAGCTTGGGGTGCCTGGTCTTCATTGGGATTGGTGAATGTAGATAAGATATTGCCAATCATATGATGCTCTAAATCCAAAAAAGAAAATTGTCACTTGATAAGGTGTTGTCATAGCCATTTTCTGTATATTCACAGGATGGCATAGAGAGCATTATCAGGCAATTCCAATGTCAGGTTCAGCATCCATGGGAAGACTTTGGGTGCAACAAACAACCTGAAGGCAAACGATGCGATTCCCATCTCAGAAGTCAAACGGGTCTGGGTCGTGCAATGCAATGGTCCAAAGGGCAGCAGCAGTACAAGACATGCACATCACTGGAGTGCAAAGTAGAGCTGTAAAAGTATCTTAAAATGTTCTCAAAATTTATTGTAAAACAATAGAACTATTATTTACTGTGGCAACACCCAATATGTTTGGAGGGACATGCCCTTATTTTATGTCTACTTATTTAAGTTTGGTAAGTGTATGTAAGATTTATGCTGTTTTGGGTCACTTGTTGAAGATTGTATGCATATTTTATATTACTTCTAGTGTATTTTCAATCCAGCTTTATACAGATAAAGCTGCTTGGGTCCTTCAAAACATGTTGGGTATTCCATTAAAAATAAAAAAAAATAAAAGATTTATTCTATTGTAATAAACATTGACAAAGAAAGATATAGCTCTTTTGTGCACTATTGGTGTTGCAATCTCTTGTTTCTTTGCAACACTGAGGTCACCAGGGACCACTTTCCCAAGTTAACTACCCCAAGCTCATGAATAAAATGGTGACGCACAGCTTTAATATTCAAGGTAAACCCGTGAGCATGGGAAAATTACCTTATAATTTATTGTGCTACATAGGATCCCACACAGATAAGGCTGGATCCTACTCAATGCTTCCTTCTCATATATGTAACTGTTTATTTCCCTACACATCTATGTGCATTTGCAGGATCATTCAAAAAGGCATCTCCATGAGGGTCAGAGTTCTTAAATCCATTGATTAATTTGGGGCCTCTATATCAGAAGGGGGTGGTGGTGGAGGGTCTATTGTTTGAATAAGGAAACAGAGCCAAGAAAGGATTGTATTAGTTATGATGGTTTGTTTTAGTATTTTAGTTTATACTTCATTTAGTTATGATCTTGTTGCATAGCTAGATTTTGTGGCTTTGTTTGTTAGGGATGCATTTGTGTGTTTGAGAGAGAGAAAAGCATCACTCTTGTTTTTGTGACACCAAATTAATTTTACAAGTGTGGCAAGGCAAAAGGGAGTACTTATTTTATTGCAAGTCAGTTTCACTTAGGCTGCAATTTTGCAGGAACACAACACAAGTAATAACTAGATGGGGAATGCTAGGTGCTTTTTTTGTTCAGTGGTGAGGTCTTGACGTTAGTAGAGGCTATTAATGAAAATAGCTGTACAATTTGATTTCTCACCAGTTCACATTTAATATGTTGGTTTTGCTCCCCACCTTTCTAATGACAAGGCCCTTATTACACTCCAAACCATAGCTGAAATCCTGATCTTGCAAAGGATTGTTGCAATTGAATTTCTCCAGAATCGTGATCTAGGGTTGGCAAACTAGGTGAGAAACTGCACAGGCACTGAATTCCCTCAGGAAAGTTTCTTGAGGAGACTTTCTAATCACCTGCAAGATAACTATGTCGTCATCGCTCCATCCTACTCCATGCTTAAGAGTGAGTTGGAAGTCCTCACCCTGGACTACAGATATTTCTGGACCCTAATGTGATAGCACAGGAACAGGCGAACAGTTTCTGCACTCCAAACACAGAGATAGAACATTGCAGTCAATCTGTATAAACACCTTGATTTTGCCACTTCTACCTCTGAATTAGTGTTTCTTCAGGGGAGTTGACATTACCTAACCTCACTGTGCTAGAGATGGACCGTAGTTACTCTCTCGGTACATTTCTGCTTATCACTAATGAATTACTTCTATCACTGCTTGTAGCAGTGTACCCCCCAAGCTTCAAATACTTGAGGTGCACTTCTTTTTGTCAGAATCAAAACTGAAGGCCCGTCCCTATGGTGGAAAACAGCCAAAAGCCATTATTTTTAGGGTATTTAAAAAGTAAGAATTACTCAATCTTAGGAAAATCCACTACTTGCATTTCTGCTAATTTGAGTATGTGTCCTAGTTTAAACTGGACACGGGTGGCGCTGTGGGTAAAAGCCTCAGTGCCTAGGGCTTGCCGATCGAAAGGTCAGCGGTTCGAATCCCCGCGGCGGGGTGCGCTCCCGTTGCTCGGTCCCAGCACCTGCCAACCTAGCAGTTCGAAAGCACCCCTGGGTGCAAGTAGATAAATAGGGACCGCTTACCAGCGGGAAGGTAAACAGCGTTCCGTGTGCTGCGCTGGCTCGCCAGAGCAGCTTTGTCACGCTGGCCACGTGACCCGGAAGTGTCTCCGGACAGTGCTGGCCCCCGGCCTATAGAGTGAGATGGGCGCACAACCCTAGAGTCTGTCAAGACTGGCCTGTACAGGCAGGGGTACCTTTACCTTTACCTTACCTAGTTTAAAAGTGAGATGAGTCAGGCTAGAGATATGGTAGGTGACCTCCAATCACATCCTTTTTCCCCTGGTTGAAGTGGATATGAAGAAGGCCGAGATAGTAATCACACAGACTGCAAGTCTTCTCTATGAGAAAATATGTTGGGCCTGCAATACCCTCCAGTTATTTTTTTCACAGTACAATCCTAGACCTTTCTGCAGACTTGCAATGCTAGCTTCCTGGTACAGTCATACCTCAGGTTACAGACGCTTCAGGTTGTGGACTGCCGAAACCTGGAAGTACTGGAATGGATTACTTCTGGGTTTGGGGAGTCACACATGTGCAGAAGCCCTAAATCATGCTTTGCACGTGCGCAGAATTGCCGAATCGCAACCCGCACGTGCACAGATGCGCAGCTGCAGGTTGCAAACGGATTACGTTCGTAACCCAAGCTTCCACTGCAGTGGTGTCCCTGCCACTTGATGAAAGGGCAAAAGACAAGACATGGGGTTAGCATGGTGTGAATACTATACTGGGAGCCACCTAAACCAGGCTCCCATCACTTCACCACTCCCTCCTGGTTTGTGGCAGCATGGCCACTGCCAGGAAGCTGGCACTGTGGCTCCACCCTGCCACATGAGCTGCTTCTGGTCTTCTCAGAACTGAGTCATACTGAGTTCAATGTGGCTTACTCCCACATCCAGGATTGCTGTCTCAATTTATTATGGACATTGCATTAGGAATTCTCTCCTGACATGCTAATGTACTCAGCGCACAGATCAGGAATTAGTGGACTGCATACCCCTAAACAAATAAATACAGTGGTACCTCGGGTTAAAAACTTAATTCGTTCTGGAGGTCCGTTCTTAACCTGAAATTGTTCTTAACCTTAGGTACCACTTTATCTAATGGGGCCTCCCGCTGCTGCCGCGACCACTGGTGTGTGATTTCTGTTTTCATCCTGAAGTAAAGTTCTTAACCCAAGGTACTATTTCTGGGTTAGCAGAGTCTGTAATCTGAAGCGTCTGTAACCTGAAGCATCTGTAACCCGAGGTACCACTGTAAAGGGAACACCACATTTTTATTTTTAATGAGGAAACCAAGGAAGACAATGAAAGCCATAATGTCAACATTTTCAGGGGGGAGCACTGGCAGAGGAACAGGGGTATGGAGGGAGCAAACCGCCCCCAGCACCACTATTCTGGTAGGGTGCCATCGCAGCGGGGCCCCCCCCAGACATGCACCATGCACCCCCCGTGTGCTGGATGCCACGCCCCCACAGGCGGCATGCCACGCCCACAGAACATGCGCCACACCCCTGTGGGCGGCGCACCACACCCTCACGGGCAGCATACCATGCCCCCAGGATGTGCGCCACGCCCCCGGGATGCAAGTCACCCCCCCAGGGACACCAGCCATGCCCCCGCTTGCTCTCTGCCACCGGTAGTAGAGCATTCAGCTTCACTACTGTGAGGGAGGCAGGGTGTCTCATGTATTCAAATCACTCTGCACATGGAGGTTCTTCAGTGAGTTGGGGACACTGTTCACATTATGAAAGGAAGACAGGAGGCTACCATATACTAAACCATTGGTCTACCTAGCTTGGTATTGTTTACATACACTGACAACAGTATCAGGAGACTTTCCCAGTCCTACCTACAGATGCTGGGGATTGAACCTTTACATGCAAAACATTTCCTCTACCATGGAGCCATGGCCTTTCAACCAAAGTGAAGCCTTCCAATCTCACAAGATATTGGAATGTTGCTTTGCCATGCAGAATGTCTTGTCTGTGCATTAGAGAGCGCTGCCAAGTTCACGAGGATCTCTATCTTCCAACAAGTGTGTACCCCACCATGTCTGTTGGACGTACCGTATTTTTTGCTCTATAAGACTCACCTTTTCCCTTCTAAAAAGTAAGGGGAGGTGTGTGTGCGTCTTATGGAGTGAATGGCTGCGCAGCTATCCCAGAAGCCAGAACAGCAAGAGGGATTGCTGCTTTCACTGCGCAGCAATCCCTCTTGCTGTTCTGGCTTCTGAGATTCGGAATTTTTTTTTCCTGTTTTCCTCCTCCAAAAACTAGGTGCGTCTTGTGGTCTGGTGCGTCTTATAGAGCAAAAATACAGTACCTAATTTAATGACATAAAACTGGTTTAGCATTCCTTCCCTTCAGCCAGCCCTTGAGAACTGTAGTTCTGTGACAACATGTATGTGTGCAGAGATAATCCAGTAGAAATTCTCAGCACCTTTGCCAAACTACATTCTCATGTTTTGTTTTGTTTTGTTTTGTTTGGGTGGGGGGGGGGAGCCATGACAGTTATAAAAATGACTATAAATTTGTAGCGTAGATAAAGGTAAAGGTAAAGGTACCCCTGCCCGTACGGGCCAGTCTTGACAGACTCTGGGGTTGTGCTTCCATCTCACTCAAGAGGCCGGGGGCCAGCGCTGTCCGAGGACACTTCCGGGTCACGTGGCCAGCGTGACAAAGCTGCATCTGGCGAGCCAGCGCAGCACACGGAAATGCCGTTTACCTTCCCGCCAGTAAGCGGTCCCTATTTATCTACTTGCACCCGAGGATGCTTTCGAACTGCTAGGTTGGCAGGCGCTGGGACCGAGCAGCGGGAGTGCACCCTGCCGCGGGGATTCGAACCGCAGACCTTTCGATCGGCAAGCCCTAGGCGCTGAGGCTTTTACCCACAGCGCCACCCGCGTAGATAGGGCTTGCAAATTAAAAGCTCACCTTTCCGTTTTCTTTTTAACCAGCTCCTCATTTTAAGGAATATACTTCAACCCATCAAGTGTGGTTTTTCTTACCAGGTGTTAAAGAATCTCACAAATGTTAAAAAATCTTTGCCGTGGAGCATTTCTTGTAACATTGTCTGTTGGAATGGTTCTCTGTCACTTTTCTCTACCAAACCTGCAATCCTTTTGCAATGCGTGGCATTTTCCCAAGGGTTTTGTTTTTGTTTGTTTGTTTAAATAAAGTATATTAAGTGACAGCACAAAAGTTATATAACCTAGAAAGAAAAAGAAAAAGAAGAGGTTTGCTTTAAAAGTAAATAAATTGAATTTTTTTTGGGGGGGGGCTTATAATACAGAAGAAGAGTGGAGTGTGTAATGAGCTGCTGTGATTGATTACCCAGTGAAGGCTATTTCAGCACAAGAAGGAGGTACCAAGAACCTGCAAGGTATTGCTACAGCTAAAGCCTGCCTTTGACAGTCCTTTACATCATTCCCCCCCCCCCTGAACAGCCTATCTGCCAAGACCCTGTGAAACAAATAGGTTTTGCCCAAGCTGAAAAAATGAGGGAAAGCAGGGACTGTTTCCCAAATCCCATGGACATAAATGTTGATGAGTCTCCATTGCAGACAAATAAAGGTACAGTGGGTGACCTCTGCCCATTTTCTCCATGTACACAAAATTCATTTTCGTTTGCATATGATTATTTCTCTGAAGCACCTGTTTGAAGTTACTCAGCTGCTTCAAATGTGTGTACAGTGGTACCTCGGGTTAAGCACTTACTTCATTCCAGAGGTCTGTTCTTAACCTGAAACTGTTCTTAACCTGAAGCACCACTTTAGGTAATGGGGCCTCCTGCTGCCGCCATGCCGCTGGGGCACGATTTCTGTTCTCATCCTGAAGCAAAGTTCTTAACCTGAGGTACTATTTCTGGGTTAGCGGAGTCTGTAACCTGAAGCGTATGTAACCTGAAGTGTATGTAACCCAAGGTACCACCGTAGTTCACCAGACCAGCGTACTTTGAAATTCCAAACTCTGATATAGGACACGTTGACTGCTCCTTACTTCCTCTTTCCTTCATCCGGGGATATGGATGATCAATATCCAAGTCAATCCACACTAAACTTTACTAAACTATACTTCCCTGCTGCAATTGCATCCCACCTGCTTGCCTAACTGGAGGAAACATTTGCTATACAACTGATAGCAGGAACAGGTGTAGGCTGGAGGCCTAATGTAGCCCTTCAACCAACAAGTTGCTGAAGAGGTCTACGTAATTCTTTTACGGGGGGGGGGGAATCAGTGCCCCATTTTAGAGATTCTAAAACTCTGTGCTGGGTCGCGTTAGCCTTATACAAGTGGACAGAAGTGTGCCTTGCAAAATTAGGCTGCCATGTTGGATTTGCCGATCACGTGTTGCCCATTGGAGCAGGAAGGCTCCATGCCACTTTGGTACTGTCTCTGTACCAAAATGTAGATGGGTCATCTTCTTAGAAGAGCGTGTAAGGCTGCAGTGGGATTCCTTGATGCAGCCTCTGTGACAAACCATCATCATTATCCAGAATTTATGACTCGACTTGGGCAAAGGGCTGGGAGGTCATATTATCCAGGCTATCTTCAGTCCTTTAGAGAACAATAAAGCATCAAGAAGTGAAATTGAATTGTGCCTCCAGTTTATGTCCATGGTGGAGGATGGTAGTTGTGGGCTACATATCAAGCATTTGGGAAATGCTATTCTCTCTATATAGGATGATCCCTGGAGTGCCAATGTGTTTAAAATCCCACCCAATGCTAGCCAAGACTCAGCTCTGGTTGATTTTGTGCAGTCTCTTTGATGTGTCCTTATCAGAATGTTCTCCAAATGTGCTTTTGTATCATTATAAGTCTGCATGTTTGCAATGCTTACTGTCTTTGATT